GCACAAGGGATACATGCCCCCCAAATCTTTGTTGCATGCAGGGTGGAGGTGGCACTACCCCCTGCTTGCTGGCTGTACTGCCTGCCTGGCAGTGGGAGGCACATGGTGTCACATGGCTGCCCAGGGCCCTGGCAGCGGGATGTGGAGTGCAGCCCACAGTGGCAGTCACCTCCACCCTGTACACAGCACAGATCAAGGGCGGGGGCACATATTCCCTGTGCCTGCCCTGGGGGTGCACACAGTGGTAGGAGCTCCCCTCCCATGCCCCTGGATGAACCACCCAGGCAGTGAGCATCCCACGACCTGCCCCAGGTCCCCGTTCACCCCCCCTGTGGGAGCCTTAATCTGCCCCCACCACACCCTTTCTCTCCCCTGCACCCCTTCCCATCAATACATTTACCTGGCTGCCTGCAGGCTCCAACTGCTTGTCGATGTCTGTGTGCGCCCCTCCCGCAACTACAGCCACCTGGAGCCCATGCCTGGGCTGCCTACCTTTGAGGGGGGACTAAGCCCCCTTAGCCCTGGCCTTCCACCACCTATATGGAGCATGGTAATTGCCATGCTCCAGCAGACTCAATTAATCAAGTCTGCTCCAATGCGCTGGAATTCCAACACACTGGAGCAGCCTCTACATTCTCGTATAGGCTCCCTAAAAACCTACAATTCACTGAAAGGTGGCCAGTCCATTAGGAAAAACTTTACTTAAGTTTCAGAGGCTAAGTCCTGAAAAAGTAAGGATATCTTACATATGCAGGTGGGTTCTTCTGTGCGAACAAAAGTTCAGTCTAAGAGAAACACTGTCTGAAAGTAGATATGAAGTTGCAGAAATGTGATATATGGGTCTGCTAACAATACTTAATTTCGTCATTCTGTAGTTAAACTAATTCTAACTAGATTAGAATGGAAAATTCCTCTGCTTAAAATACTTTAATCTCTGTTCTACTTCTAAAATTCTCTCAGCTGTGATATTTTCTTGCTTATACCCTTTCCTTGAATTCTGTGTCCTTTTAGCGATATTGTTTGGCATAACTCAGGCTACCTTGACCTAATTTATACTGATTTATTTCTATAAAGCATCCTATGGCCTACTAAAGCCAGCACATGGCAAGACTTAAGAAGGGGCTTTTAAACGTAGCCATAAACTGGGTCAACATGAACAAAATTGCAAGGATCTTTCACCATTTTCCCTTTCTTTTTGGCAGATATGGCCGAATCCTTGTTTATCTCTTCTCCTGCCTTGGGGTAGGTGTGTGCGGTATCGTTGTGGCCTTTGCACCAAACTTTTCCATATTTTTGATCTTTCGCTTCCTCCAGGGTGTATTTGGAAAGGGGACCTGGATGACATGCTATGTTATTGGTAAGAACTCTACTCTTCCCTTTTTGGGGCAAGGACATTGAATAAAGGAGTCTTGGGGAAAGATAGACATTCTGTACACAAAAGCACCGGAGAGCATTAGGAATGTTCATTACTAACGTGAGATGAAGGGAATTGTAATAGCTGTCTGGTCCTTTAAGAGGGAAGTCAGCCCTGTTGAGGCAGCCCAGCTGTGGAGCATTTGGATAATGAGGGAATATCCCACTGGGAGCTTAAAATCCAAAGGGAGAGTAGCAAAAGGAAGCAACCTATGAGGGAACAGTTTGTAAGCAGGAGGCAAGCTGTGAGCATAATAAGCTTGCCACTGCAGGGCAGGGGGACAGGCTGCTGTGCTGGAGCCAGAGCCAAAGGCCTCCCCTCCTGGTGCCTTAGGCAAGGCATCAGAGTTTGGTTTTGTCTGTTTATTTGTTCATTTGGTTGCTGCTTAAAGACTGTGCTTCATTTGGGAGGACAGCCTGAGTGCATCTACATGTCCAATTAATGTGAATAAAGAATTTTTATTTGCAACTGTCTAGTTGGTCTAATAAAAGATATCATCTCTACCACACTGACTCCTATGTGCAGCAATAAACTCCAGTGCTCCATTTGAACATGTGCCTGGGACCACAGCACTTTGAGCTGGGTCAGAGCACCCCTGGCTGGCAGGGGGCTGTTTTGACAAAGCTCAACCTGCTGTGGAGGGATTAGCTGGGGCACAAGGTTGCTCCAGTGTGGGGCTAACTGGCAGGCAGCCCCTGCACTGAAGCACTGTCGTTCCCCAGGCAGCTGGGTCAGTCTACATGTACATTGCTGTGCACAAAAAAACTCTGCAGTACTTGTGTTATTTACAAGTACTAACCTGCTGTGGAGTTTATTAGTTTCCTGTGGCCTAATAGAGCCACCTGGGTAAACACTGAGGTGTTTACTGCAGAGCTAACTAAGCAACTCTGCAGTAAACCTCTTGTGTAGACGTGTCCATTGAGGAGTAGCCAGTAGGCTAGGCAACTTTCTTACAAGAACCAATAGATATATATAGGAGGATATACAAACCATTTTATTCAAGGAATAAATGGTACTTTTATTATGGAAGGGCTAGTAAGAGTTACTTTTCTTTTAATATCTCTAGCTAGACTTTTCTGTAAGACCCATCCCCCATGGGCATGTTTGTTGATGTATTTACTTTATTAGATATATATGCTACCCTTCCCAACACAGGCCCAGGGAAACTCACAAAAGAGGACAAAATGACTTATAAAACAGGGGAATGAACAAGAGACTTAAAAGAGGAACTAGAGCATCAACACAGAACACCCTATCCAATATCCCAGCCTAGCTTTGTTTGCTAAATGCCTGCCCAAATAGAAAGGTATTACCAAGCTGAGAGAGCTCCAGGCTTGGGTTCTGGTGGACCGCAGCAGCGAGGGCATTCCAGAGTTGAGGAGCAATTGCTAAGATTGACCTGCTCACGTGTTTTCACCAAGCTGATTTGGCGCATGGATGGTACTTGCAGGAGGTGGCTCTTGGCTGACCTTAGGAACAATGATGGGGTGTAAGAGAGAAGGTGGTCCCCCAGATATGCAGAACCCAGACCAAGTAGGGCCAGAGTGGGCAAAATGGCAGATCCAGCCAGTGGCTGGACTCCATTTCCCAGCAGCCCCTGCCCACATAGCTGTGACCAGTTTCCATGAAGACCCCAGCAGTGGCGGCTCCTGACAGTGTTGGGCCAGGGTTTCCATGGAGACCGGCCCCAGCAGTGCTGGCAGGGAATGCGGCTGGGCAGGGAGCTGCTCCTTGGCTGGGGCTAAGATCTTACAGTGGTGACAACGTGGTCCAGAGTCAGGGCAAAGCAGCAATCCGCTACCTGCACGCCCCTTCCTGGGGCATGCGGACAGTGGATCACAGCTCTGCCCTGGCTTCAGACCACGCTGTCACTGCTGCAAGATCCCAGCCCCGGAGGAGCTCCCCGCCCAGTTGTGCACCCTGCCAGTGCTGCTGGGGCCGGTCTCCATGGAAACCCTGACCCTGCGCTGTCATGGTGCCACCACTGCTGAGGTCTCCATGGAAACTGGCTGCAGTGACACAGGCAGGGACTGCCAGGAAATAGAGTCCACCACAGGCCCAATCCAGCCCGCAGGCTGGACTTCTCTCACCCCTGATATAGGGCCTTATAAATCAAAATCAGCTCCTTGAATTGCTCTCAGAAAGCTATTGGGAACCGGTGCAGAATCTGGAACAGGTGAGCAATATGTAAAGAATTTAAAATGGGATGTTTCCTGTTGAAGTAATTTGAAGCTTTGAATGTGTTTCGTAATTGCACAGTGACCTGTCTGCTCCCTATGTCTAGCTTGTAAATCTGAATGAGGGCTCTTAGAGCCTTGGCATAAAATCCAAAATTAAAAGCAGAACAACTGATTAAGGTTATTATACAGGAGGCTACCAAGGGCAATTGAAACTATTTGGCCACAACCGCATCCCTCCAGAGGCCCAATGCCAAGAGCAACTTCCATTGACCTAAACAGGAGTTACCAACTGTATTGAGTCATGTGCCACACCCACATTTTCCCCCAAAATTTGCCCTCCAAAATTGGGGTGCATATTTTAAGCAAGGAAGCTGATTTATGCACTGGAGTAGAGGCCTGAGGACACTGAGATGGCTACCAGGGGGGAAACATGCAGGGCTGGTGAAGTTCACCCCTCATTGTCACTTTCCCTACCTTGTAGCTCCATAGCTACAGACTTAACCCTGTCACAGTCACCACTGAATTGGCTGAGGAGTCAAAAGCAGCTGCCAGTTCAGGGTCATACAGATAGTTGAAGAGCTGTAGCTAGAGGGTGAATGATACTGAGTGGACTCCACCGCTCTTTCATGTGGGCAGCTTTCAGCCATGGTGAGCCCATGCTATGGTAGTTAAGATTATGGGAAAAACCCTTTTTTCTTTCTTCTGCCTTCCCAAAACAAGGTGTGTCTCTTATCTGAGGAAGTGAAATGCAAGTTAGTATGGTGTATCCTGCACAGAGAGAATCAGGCAGTTAGGAGATGGCCATCGTTCTTCAGCTATGAGTGTGTTTTGTATGTAACAACTCAGAAGAGAATTAAACACCTTCTAGTATGGGCAGAGAGTAGGTAGATGGCACAGCAGAAGGAAAGGATAAGGCAGGTGGGGAAGAAGAAGGAACATGTTTATTACAGTAAAATGAAACATAGAAATAATTGTTATGAACTCTCTATAAACAGAGACCAATTTTGTAGTTTTATGAAACTGTAAATGTTCAATCAACTGTTTGGAGGGTAATATATTTTTATTGCTTATAATTAAAGGGCATATAATTTCTTTTAATGGCACCCTGTGATCCTTTTGTGCTAGGCATTGTACAGATGCATTTTATATGACAATCCTGGCTGCACAATGCTTATACTCTAAAAGGCTCTGAAGACTTATAAAAGGTTAGGGCAATGCAGTCTCCGCACAGCCGTTCCATTTATACAAAGAATGCTGATCAGGCTTGTTTATAAATAGTGTCAAATCGGTTTGGATCTAAAATCATGGTACTCAGGGTAATCTTGACCTAATCATGATCCTCTCATAATGGGCTTGCTTTCTAGGATAAAGGTGATACTATGCCATTCACATTGTGCTCTCTTGAACTACTGCCAGATTCAGAATTGGACCTTTCCCAGCTCCTTTCAAGGGAACAATGTGGCATATTATCAAAGAGCAAATACTTCTGAAGAGCATACCGTATTAACCTGAATCCAAGATGACTGTGAATTTAAGGTGACCCCCAATAATTAGATTCAAGACATGGAAAACTATGAATTTGCTATAAATTTCCATGTAGAATCTAATTTTTGGAGGGTTGTCTTAACTTTGTCACCTTCCTCCCACAGTGCTACTCTGGGGCATGCAGTGTAATCAAACCAAGCAGCAGGGGAGTTAAGTGGTCTGCCCCCTGCTCCTTGCCAGTTGCCCTCCCAGCTGCCTGCCTCCCCCAGTGTCTGTGTGCCCCACACCCTGCTGCATACCCCAGCACCACCTGCACTCCCTCCCACCTGCCCCCTCCCACTTTCTTCCTCGTTGTCTGTGCCCCCTGATATCTGCCCCTCCCTGTAGTGCTGCTCCCCCTGTCACCTGTCTCCTCAACGCCTGCCGGGCCCCCAGTGCCTGCTCCCCTGTCTTGCCTACACCCCACTTTCACCCCCCCAAACTTGCTAGGCAGCAGCTGATGTGATGGTGGTAGGTCTGGCCCTGGCCCCATATTAGCAAAAGCACACAGTTTTTTGTGACACTTTAATGCTCATTAAAATAGGCTAATGCACATTAAAGTGCAGGTGTAGACACACCCCCTATGTACCTAAATTCATAAGTATGTTCTTCAAAAACCCAGCCTAAGCCTGTGGGCACTTAAATCTGCAAGAGACTAATTTTTCACTAGTAAAGTTCTTCAGGTGCATAAAATTCTGCTTCTTCACATGTCCAGAAACATCTCAGTCTTGTCATGGCTGATCAGATCAACTTCAAGGACTTGGGTACAAGAACTAGGTCAGCGATTCTCAGCCAGGCACTGCAAGGTACCTTGAGATCCTTTCATGAGTTCTACAAGGTGCCATGCTATGTTAGCACTGTTAGGTGTGCAAACATGATTCACATGATAAATCCAGAGATTTCTGATAAGAATCTATAGTTCTAAAAACATTCTGACCTGTTTTGGTCCTTCTTCTTTGAGACAAAAGAATTGCTTTATTATTTTCTGTTGTCAAAAAACAAGTGAAAGCTAAGAGCTGGTATTTTCCATGCCTTGAGTCTATAGAGGTGTGCCTCAAGTCTAAAAAAGGTTGAGAACCACTGGACTAGGATCAAGTTGCCCTGACTAGGGCAGGTTTGCTCATTCATCCTCTGCCTGGTGCAGTCAATCTCTAATTCTTTTATGTAAAATAGAACGTCCTTGACAAGAAGAGCTGAATAAGTCCCTACACCAGAAGAGCTGATAGTTTGGTGGTTAAACTGCTATTTTGGGACAGGGTTTGTTGTACCCATACAGGCAGAGGAGAGAGCTGAACCTGCATCTCTCACAGCCTGACTTAGACCTGCAATTACAGGATTATTATAAAAATGGGAGCATGACATCTCCTATTCTTTTTCCTTCCAATAGCAATAATTTAAGTGAAAAGAGTGACTTTTGCTTCATTTTTTAAGTAAAGGACTTAGATGTGCCCCTCCAGGAACAGGGTCAGGGCTGTAGCTTCTGAGTAACACCTCCTTCCAAGCTGGAGTTGGGTATCCAAGTCTCACAGATGGAATTTAAGACACACACGTCAATGTTATTGCCTATTGGCTAGCTTGGTGTGTAATTGTGTGAATCCCATTCTGAAGTGCTGAAGTCTTTCCATGCATTACATGTGGAGCTTAGGGTAGAAACATATGTTGCTTTTGTGCCATCATAATTTTTTGTTGTTGGTACAAAGCGACAGCAAATAGTAGGGCTCTGCAAAGCTTCACTGGCTGTTTTGTTTCAAAGCTGTTTTGACTTGTTTTGAGCTTGAAAGAGTGAAATCAAAATGAAGCAAAGACCTACAAAACAGCTTTGAAACAAAACGAGGCCAGTCAAAACGTTTCGAAACTTTGAAAACGTTTTGAGTTTCGAAGCAGAAGCCAGGTGGTGGGAGGCAGGGGAGAGCCAGGGCGGCACTCCGTGTGGCTCCACAGCCCGATGTGGCTCAGCCTGGCATGGAGCACAGCCCTGGCTCTCCCTGCCTTCTGCCGCCGGGCTGGGCTCTGCCCGCCTCCCAAGGCCAGACTGAGCTCTGATTGGCTCTGCCAGCCCCGTGGAGCTCAGCTCAGTGGCAGAAGGCAGGAGGAGCCGGCGCTGCACTTTGCCTCCCACCACCAGGCTGAGTTCCACGGGGTTGTGAGCCACTGGGACCTGAGCCCGGCTGGGGGAAGCACCTCCTGCCGCCTGGCTCCATCCCCAGTGTAGGGAAACTCAGCCCAGCTGGGGGAGGCGCGTCCCCCAGCCATGCTGAGTTACCCAGCGCTGTGAGCCACTGAGAAATGAGCCTGGTGGTGGGAGGCACTTCCCCCAGACAGGTTCAGTTTCTCAGCACTGGGTCCCAGGTGGCAGGAGCAGCTTCCTGCCATCTGGCAGGCAGATTGGGAGCCCACCTGCACCCCCAGGAGGGCTGTGAGGGCTCTGCCAGACACCTTCCAGGGGGTGCGGGCCACTGATCTGCCTGCTGGATCACAGGACGCTGCTCCTGCTCCCCAGCTCCTGCTTGTCAGCAGCTTGAGGTGCAGTTTCTTAGAAATCCCTGCACCTATCTCTGTGAAACTTGGCAGGCTTCATGCCCTCAGAAGGGGCTACCATCTCTACAAGTTTCATTGGAATCAGGCAAGAAATTACAAAGTTATAGGCTGTTTCGTGCTTCCCCAGTATAGCCTACAGGTGAAATGTCAATGCAGCGTCGAAACAGCAAAACCATTTTGATGAAACAGAACAGAACAGCGCTTTTGAAACTAAATGAAACTCGAAACAAAACACTGTTTTGTTGAAATGTTGAAACAGAAGTCAAAGTGAAACGCTGCTGTTTCGCACAGCCCTAGTAAATAGATCTTCATACCTTTTGTTGTATAACAAAATTACAACTTTTCCATGTATATGATTTAATTAATGGGGGGTCATCTTAAATTCAAAGCAATCTTGAACTCAGGTAAATATGGTAATTTCTCTGTTTTATTGGGAGGAACACCTAAGGCTAATCAGGGGTCTAAATTACTCTATCTTAAATACTGATCTTTGGAAAACATTAACTTTATACTAAAACATTTACTTGGCTGCACTTGGAGGATGGTTCATGTAACATACCCTTCAAATTATTGACATGGACTTCGGAGCAGTAAAACAAAAGTTTGATTTCAGAGAACCTCTCTTAGATTTAACACTGAACCCAAATCTTGGTGCAACACATCTATGGAAGTTTAATTTAAAGTAGATGGATACCCATACAATCAGACATGAAAAATGATAAGTAAAGATTATAATGTTGTATATCAGTATTAATCAATTCTTAGTGCCTTGTATTTAAGAGTTCCCAATCACTGATAACAGAATTTTTCTAAAATGTTTTAGAAAAAAGGGATATCGTCCTTTGTAAACCAGGGTAGAACTCCCTGCGTAATTTGACCTAACACTGCCAACATAATGTTTTAAATTGGAATAGAGTTTGTTTCTTTTTAACTTATTCTGTTCTTCTATCTGTTCAGTGACAGAAATGGTTGGCTCAGATCAGCGGCTTGTTGGAATTGTGATACAAATGTTCTTCACCCTTGGAATTATGATTCTTCCTGGAATTGCTTACTTGATTCCCACATGGCAGGGAATTCAGCTGGCCATCACACTGCCCAACTTCCTTTTCCTGCTCTATTACTGGTAATGTTGGCATTGCTATGGTTGTAGCACTTAGAGTCATTGGTCCTGGGCCAGGGCTTCATTACACTAAATGCTATGTGAAAGCAGAGCAAAAAAAAAATCTCCCTGGGTTGTTGTTGGTTTAATGTCTCTAGGACATTTTTATATACAAACCGAAAGAAGAGTACTCTTGAAAACAAATGTTATACATTTTCAAGAAATTGCTCCTGGATGTATATGTCAGCTTGGATATAAAATATTATGATAAAGCAAAATATAAAGTGGAAAGACTATGTTTTTCCTGATAAACTGCCTTTCTTACCAATCAAACTATGCAAGACCTGTCTTCTGACGCTTTCTACTATTTTACAGGCCTGGAATCCACCAAAAATATCCCTTAAATCCTACCTAATTTTCTTGGTGGCATTGCTAGGGCTTCATGGCCCTCAGTTCCCAAAAGACTATGTTAGGGGGAGATCTCATATACACAGGTTTTAAACAGTAACTAAAGTGGCTAAATACTGTCCTAAAGCTAGCCTGTGAAATAGATGTTGTTCTTTCTTTGGTATCCACAAGGGCGGTGAATGTCCCAAGCCAGAAATACTTCCCTGGTGGAATTCAAATGAATACTCAGAGTCTTCTGGTCTCAGAAGTGAAAGAAGTGTAGAGACCTAGCAAGTAATGAACAGATGATAGAACAAACACTTGGAAGAAGTGTTGAACAGTATATATGTTAACTTATTCTTTGTCCCTGTGAGACATTGATGCCCCATGTCCCATGAAGTACTCTGCTGCAGAGTTAGAGAGGGCTAGGGGACCTTCCCAATTCCAGGAAACACGTGAGGGGAGAACAAGAAACTTGATGTTAATTAGCTTTTAGAATGTTTGGCTTAACCACAAAAATATATCATTTTTATGGTCAGAGGAATGATGGAGATTGAATGGGCGTGGGAAATGAACTGCTGTCCTTCTTGCCCCAAGGAGGAGTCCTTCAAGTCAAAATAATAAGTACTTTAGTTAGGGCAACATGAAAAGTTTGCTGATTGAGCTGTATGTACCCATGATGTTCTTCCTGGATATTGTGCCTCCACCCTCACCTGAAGGGCACTAAATCCCTGGTTAAACAGGTAGTTTACTCTTCATGTCATTCAACTCATTTCCTTCTTTGTTGAAAGTATCAACAAATAGTTATTCAAGCAAACATTGATGGCGTGTTTTAATAAAATGTGCTTATAGAATATGGTGGTTTTCATCTAAAACTCTCAAAACACTGCAATGGTGAGTAAGCCTTTTGGATAGGGTGGGATATAAATCTAAAAAATAAATATAAATAGCCATTATTCTCTTTTATAGATGGGAAATGTATGCAGTAAGAGGATATATACCCAGTTCAGTTCAGTCCCACATACAGATAATTGAGCTAGGGCATATAGTCATGTTAGTGCAGTTCCACACCCCAGACTAGTTAATATTATGCCACACAGACATCTGCTAAATTGTTTGTTCAAGGTCGCATAACCAGTCAGATATGGGACCAAATCCAAACTACATCTGCACCCAATCCCATGCTTAACTGTCTGCTGAGAACTGGTTAGAGTCAATGGTTTCTTTGGCATGGGCCATTTATCAGTCCTTTGACTGAGGCTGGATGATGACCTCTGACATAAAGCCACAAAATGACATATCCTGTCACCAGTCTCCTGTGTCACCCCATTTCCAGGTGTAAAAAATTTCTAGTAAAGTAAAGCAAGACCTAACAAATGTTTAATGAAAAAACCTCATGAGGGTTTCAGTGTTGAGGTTTGTTTCTGTAATGGCTGAACATTACACGAGACCTGTAGACTACGTAGGATGGCTGAATTTCCACCCATCTGTGCTCCTGGGACCTGATGGGATCAGTGAGCCACACAGCTTTTGGTTGTTGCCTGTAGGATGAGATACTTTGAAAGTCAGGCAGGGGACTAATGAGGGAGGTGGGTCTGTGAATATTTCTGTCTAGTTCAGAGGTTGAAAAAGCTGTTTTACATCAGGTGTAAATACAGATGCTAATTCCTGTTACTTTCTGAAGACACTAATGATCATAATCCTTACTGGCCTCTGCGCTTTTGCAGGGCAGTTCCTGAATCTCCACGATGGCTGCTGACACGCAAAAAAGGAGAAAAGGCATTAAAAATTATGCACACCATTGCCAAGCACAATGGGCGATGTCTCTCCCCACATTACTCTGAGGTACATACCATGTGTTTGTACAGTGCTTTTAATTTAATCTTTATTTTAATTTTTGACTTTTCAGGATTGTTAAAATGTATTTTCTCTGTTTGACTGGCAAGAATTCTGTGCTGTGATACTGAAAATGGATTGCCTGACTCATTCGTTTTTGGGTTTTATTGTGAGGGAAGGAGTAGATTACTTGAAAGCGGACTGGGCCTAATTAAGAACATTTCCCAGCACTATTAGCATTAAGTAAAATTCCAAAGTAAACATCCTATAAAGAATTGTGCTAAGCATATTTAGCATATTTAGTTACTATAAGGGGTCATGCTATTTCCTTTTTTTTTAATCATACTATATTGTGCAATGGTCTTTCTAATGTATTCCATATGAAGGATATGTCCTGAAGAGGGGCATTAATATATTGGTGTAGTGGTAGAACAAAATCTTGAGTCCTGTCTTCACATGTGGGGTATTCTTGGTGGAGAGGACACCCTGCTTCAAGGGGTGTGCCCTGTGGGGAGACGTTCTACTTCAAGGGGCATACTTTTGGGGGATGTATGGTGACCTTCCCCCAGCAAACAGGAGCCTGTGGTGATCACTTCTATCCTTCCCCCACCTTATACGGGCCTTTGTGGACCTGATTATGGCTAATAACTGTCTCACGCCTAAAAAGTGGTCATTGGGGTCTTTCTATGTGTTTCTACTGAGTCAAGCACAGTGAAACTTGACCTTAATGTGGACTATTACATCCCCTTGTAATATTACATTATTCAGGATGCAAAAGAGCAAGGTCCTTTCTTCTCAGCCACTAATAAACCTTCCAGCCTCTGTTCTTTGCCAAGGATTGCACAGAATTTCAGACAGTGTCAAAGTGTAAGGGAGGAGGAAGAACTAAAGAGTGTTACTCAACACTCTGAACCTTTAGGGGACAGTATCCGTGATACTACACAGTGACACAGTTCCTATGCGTGGCAGACTTCCTTCACCGATCATCAAATAGCTGGAGGAGTATCTGCATGAAAGCTCATGCTGTTCCATGCAGCAGATGATGATCCAGCACAACAGGAAACCATGCGGAGGCATCAGGATGTGTGGGATCTAGCAGTTCCCTCCCTTGTTGTTCCATTAGTTCTTGAACCCCTCTTTCTCTACCAGAACTCTGAATTTAAAACCACCAAAATATGCTTTTTCCAGCTTTGGCCACAAAGACAAAAGGCCTGATTATTACAGGATATTTCACCATTGTTTACAAGCCAGATTTGGAATTTAAGTGTTCGGCTTCACAACCCCACAGATTATACGAGAAGTTTGAAATCTTTGGGTGCCCATACATGAGTACTGAGGCTGCTCTGAGCACTGGAATTCCAGCACATTGGAGCAGACTTGGTTAATTGACTCTGCTGAAGCATGATGGTTGCCTCCTGACTCTTGTGCATCAGCCTTCCCGCACTTAAAAATGGCAACAGGGGCCCTTTTATTAAAGCTTGTTGAACAAGCTTTAGTTCATGTGCCTCCACCACCATTTGAAGCGTGGGGGCACCAACACAGGAGACACAGCAGCACTTTAATTAGAGCAGCTCTCGGAGTCTCTCTAATTAAAGCGCCACCCCCATCACTCCCAGAGCATGTGTAAAAGCACCCTGTTAGTCTTACTAAATAAAAACCATATAAATAAAGACCTATGGCCCTAGGACTGTAGTCTACAGAAAGATATTCACCATTAAAATAATTAATATTTACAAAAAAATTATTACTTTCTTGTTGGTAAGAGAAAAAAATGTTTGCAGAAAATGCCCCCTTATACGCCATATGTATTTGTTGCTTTTATTTTGCTTTGAACCAAGATTTTCCTCCTTTGCCTCTTTATAGTTAGATTTCAATATCAGGTTGAAAAAGTCAAGATAACAAGTAAAAATCTCCAATTGGTTATCCAGACCAGTTAAACTATCCTGGACTTCCACATATAAAATACAGTGTGGTTTTATTTGCATGCATTGCAGAACTTCCTGAATTTGAGCAAGAGTCATAAATTGACCATATCCCACAAATGAGTATGTGGACAGTTGGTTTTTTGTTTTTTTCAATCTATGACCCCTAGCTTTGAAACAATAAAAGTATTTCTTTCTCTCTCTTTCCATTTTTTTTCCTAAAACAAAAAAGAGAATTTAACAGAGACCATTTTTTTTGAAAAATCAAGAAAATATGAGTTTTGCTCTTTGAGAATTTTTGTGCAACACATGCACTGAATTTGAACTACACCAAAAATGTATCCCTTTGCATAAATAATTATACATTTTGTAAAATTTACTATTGCCCATGAACCTCTTAATTTTTTGTTATGGGATGGATAGATACATTCAGGATGATGACAAATAATATCTTTCATTTCCATGTTCTAATGGATGAATTCTAAAGTTCTTTACCATTAACTGTTTCACTCAGTGAATTGAAGTGTGGACCCCTTTGAATTGTACGTGTGTGTATTCACATACTTTTGATTGATCATAGTCATCTTTCTCAGACCCCTTAAACATAGTCTGTGGGCTCCCAGAGTCCATGGGCCATAGGTTGAAAACCACAGATCTAGAAGGATGAGGCATTCCAGCTATACCCCAAGACCGTGAACCAAAGTAACAAGCATGTACCAACTTCCTCAAATTGTTCTGTTGCTTCATGCAACAGAACAGCATTTTATCTTATCCAGACCATGCCTCAGACTGTTTGCCCTCTGTGATCTGAACCAGATGCTCAGAAAGGTGGTCAACAGGTGTGGAGACATAAAGGTGTATATCATCAGCTTACAGAAGACATTGTAAGACATGTCTCACTTATCAGCATGGATTTATTAGGGGGAGATCATGTCAGACCAACCTGATTGCCTTCTACGATCAGGTCACAAAGGCCATGGATGCAGGTGTCACGGTGGATGTAGTCTTTCTGGACTTCAGCAAGGCCTTTGACACCGTCTCTCACCCCATCCTAGTTAAAAAACTAGGTGACTGTGGCATCGATGCCTACACAGTCAGA